TTCGGAGTGGGAAACTTCATGCATAGGTGCTCCTGGGATATCACACATCTGAGGTCTTCCAGGGTCGGCCTTCCCATGATGATCTTATGCGCACAAGTTAGGCGTACGATGATAAACTCGACGTCTAACTTGGATACGCAGGGCTCGGAGCCCACCATCACGGGGAGGACTATGCTGCCCTCCGACTCAATGGAGTCCCCGGTGAAGCCCGAGAGTGGGGTTCTCACCGGGATCAAGTCTTTTCGGTCCAGCCCGAGACCTTGGAAGGTGTCATAGTACATGATGTTAACGAAGCTCCCATTGTCCACCAGGACTCGGTGGACGATCGTGTCGTTGATTTCGACCTTGATGACCAAGGCATCCCTGTGCGGCGGAGGCATCGGTGGCAAATCTGCGTCGGTGAAGAAGATGGGGTCCCTCTTCACCCTCTTGTCGGCGGGAGCCCTGGTTATCTCCCCCACGTATAGGGCTCGGGCCCACTGCTTCCGCTCTCTAGAGGTGTCGCCTCCCTGGGGTCCCCCGAATATGAATGAACATCGATGGTACTTCCGGGAGGGCGTTCCCTAGGTCGGCATTGTCTTCCTCGGAGAAGGCACCGAGCTCCCGCTTCTTGGCAGACGGTGTCTCCTTTGACGTGGTAGCTTGGTCGGACCGCTGCCACGTCAGGCTTCTCTTCTGCGGGATACCTCCTTGTTTGCCAACGAATTGGCCCAGGTACCCTTTCTGGACGAGTTCTTCAATTTTCCGTCGGAGAATGACGCAATCATCTGTATCATGCCCTGCTCTCCGATGGAATCGACAATATTGGTCGTGGTTGCGCTTGGCAGTCACCACATCACAATCCTCCGGAAAGTCGACTAAACCTTGCTCCTCCGTGTAGTCGAAGATGGCCCCGACCGGCTGAGCAGGTGGAGTCAATTGCTTGACGGGCTGTAGCGGTCTGCTCGGGACGTCCGCCTTGCCCTTGCCTCTACTTTTGTTACCTTTGTACTTGTTGTTTTTGTTGCTAGGTTTGCCGTCATCTTTCTCAGCACCCGAACCGGCTTCCTTCTTCTTTTCTTCTTTTGCACCTTCTCCCTCATCTCTTTTCCTCTGCAAGGCGTCCTCCGCCTCGGCTTGCCGGTCGGCACGGCCGAGCGCCTCCTCGTATGATGTGGGGGGACTTCTGACGAAATCTTTGTAAAGCTCGCCCGATCGGATAGAGTTTGTGAGCATGGCCACCCCGGTCCTGTCATCAAGGCCCTGAACCTTGACTAACTCGGCCCTCCACCTCGCTAGGAAGGTCAACAATGATTCCTTCTTCCCCTGTTTTAGGCCGAACAAGTGGCTGAAGTTTTTCTTGACGTCTCGGGAGCTCGCGAACCTCAAGAGAAAGCGCTGAGCCAACTCACGGAAATTCGTGATACTCCCGTCGGGTAGAGAGTCATACCATTCACGAGTCGGGCCATCCAAAGTGGCGGAGAAACCGCGGCATCGGATGGCGTCCTCATACCCCATCATGACCATGTAGGAAAGGTATCGAGATACATGATGCTGGGGGTCAGAAGCGCCCTTGTATGCTTCAATGGCGCAGGGCTTGTAGCCCCTCGGCAACGGCGCATCCATGACCGCACGGGTGAAGGGTTCGGGTATCCGGAGGTCAGCCGTGTAGGGCTCCCCCCCGACGACCCTCCTTCTCAACTCGTCAAGGCGCTGTCGTAGATCTTCCACCTCGGTCGGCGGTGGGTTCCGCCGGACAGCTCCAACGCGGGGCTGAGCATGTCCGGCGGCACCTCCAAGTCGTCCGTGCACGTGAGGTCGGGGCCCCACGTTTTGCCTTTCCGTGGAGCCAGTCCGACCACTCGCCCGGTGAGAGTGGCGAGAGGGCTCGCCTCCTTCCATCTGCGTTGGGCGCCCCTGCTGGGCGCCCCTCCCCGTCTGCCGATGGGGTCGGCTAGGCTGCTGGGAGACTTCTTCCCCCTGCCGATGGGAGACTTCTTCCCCCTGTTTTGGTTGGATCCAGAGCGTCGCTCATCACGCCGCCTGGAGGACACCTCCACATCCGCTGGCGTCTGTTGACGGGCAGGCTCATCCACGTTTCCGCCAGACACCATCTGTTGGAAATTTTGAGCCAAGGTCCCCAGAACCCGAGTTGCCTCCTGTAGGGCTTCCACCCCGGCATTGAGTCGAGTTGGGTCCATGCGCAGAGCATGACGTCGGCCTCCCCCCACCCCCCCCCCCCCCACCGGTTGCGGACCGAGCGCTCACCCTGGGTGTGGTTGAGCGTCGCCCTTAGGTCGCCGTGGCCTGATAATTGGTTCCGAAGGTCGCCTTGGCGCGTCGCCCTCCTGCCCTGTACATGGTTGTCGAGGGCACGCTGACGGCCAGACCGGGTGGACTCCTCAGTGTGGACTGAGACATGGTCACGTCGAGACGAGATTCCAGCCATCTTCCTAGGTGATTCCTACTCAAGTGATGTGAGAGACAATAGAGGCCCTCAATGAAAGCACCAATGTTGGTCCAAAATAGGACGCTCGTAGGCTTTTAGGAAAGCTACGTACGACACTCAAGCAGGAATTAGGAAAGTACGAATATGGAAAGTTAGCCAGAAATAGCATATCTGTATTTGAAATTCGAATTGCCTTTTATAGGCGATTACAAATGGTAACTGCCGAACATAATAATGACTAAATTAATTACAACATTAATACGGAATTAAACACATAATTAAGTAGCGCATTGATTGTTGGCCGTTACTCTTCCTGGCTGGCAGGTCAGCCTGGCTGGCAGGCTGGACGCTTGAGCTCCCTCCTGCTGGATTGGACGGTGGGCTTCCCGCTAGGCTGGAGGAAGGCTTCTGACCGGGCTGGAGGCAGGCTTCTGACCGGGCTGGAGGCAGGCTTCTGACCGGGCTGGAGGCGGGCTCCCGGGTAGGCTGGAAGGCAGGCTCCCCGTTGGGCTGGAGGCAGGCTGGACCGCAGGCTCCCAGCTGGGCTGGACTGCAGGCTCCCAATTGGGCTGGTGGTCGGCAGGCTCCTGGCTAAGCTGGAAGGCAGGCTCCCCACTAGACTGGAAGGCAGACTCCCCACTGGGCTGGAAGGCAGGCTCCCGGGTAGGCTGGAAGGCAGGCTTCCGGGTAGGCTGGAAGGCAGGCTGCTGACTGGGCTGGTAGGCAGGCTCCCTGCTGGGCTGGACGGCAGGCCGCCCTTGGCTTTCACTCTTTGATGGGCCTGATCGGTTGGGTCGGAATGAGCTTTGGATCACTGGGCTTGGGCCTGCTGGTCCAAGTCCGGGGCCTGGGCCGATTAGGCTCTGGACCTAGTCCCATAGCCCCATCACATTTGAATTCATTACATGCATATCTTTGAATTTTATTCATAAAAGAATGGATACAAAGGAATATATCCACAAAATAGTAGAATGACATGTACCACAGTCAACTTGGGGTCATATCACTCTAAGGTATATGGGTGACATTTGTAAACTATTGAAATATGTGATAAATAGGTGATTTAACACATGTGGTGATGTACAATAAATTAAGGAATATATTTATCGAAGTAATCCTTAAAATCAGTTATGATTGAAACAATTGTACCCATGTCCTCACATAGAATGGAGTCATGTCATGAGTTTGAATGTGGTGACCAGTCTCTTGTCAAAGTCACAAGAATGACCTTATATACCTTTGTGGGGCTTCCCCGAACCCTCACAATGTGAGGACGCCAATGTCCACCAAGGTACCCTCAATGTTTTTTTTACATAGAAACTCGCTATAAAAATGAGAGAAAATATCAGATTGCATCTAATAAATGCAAAAGAAAATGCATATTTAAGCAGGTTATGAGTCAAAGTGTTCATTGACTCATACAAACTTTGAAATAACTCATTTAGGTTATTAATTATTCGAATAAAGGATGATATGAGATCCAACACAATGTAAATTGTTGGTTTTAGCATTGATATATAGAAAAACAATATCAATCTTATAAAGTACGAGAAGAAATATTTACCTTTCATTATGCCTTACAGATATAGTAGAAGACACGTCAGTTATTTCTTAAAGTTTACTCCTTAGCAAAAAGAGAATCGAGACATGTCCACATATGCTAAGGAAATAACAATAAAGATATCTCATTTTTTCAATACAATGTGATATGTGACAACTCATCTACCATAATGCGGGCCATTTAAGTGATTATGGTTTGGTAGAAATTTACTCATGCTGTCTATTTTCCTGTTGCATAAAAATGTTGCATTTGCAAAACTTCTAGCAAAACTTGGTTATTTAAGGCCCACCACCCGACCAATCAAATCTATATGACTTGTTACGGCTAGACAGTTCTCATCAAAAATACTTGATGATTATTGTAGCACCGTCCCCAAGCATATTTACTTTTAGTAAATTATGTAATAAACCTTGAAAGATGATTTATGAATTTACGTAATTGTTAAATTTTATTATTTCTTTTACGTGAATAGTAAATTGCATGTGGGGCCCACGGCGAGAGCGGGGGCCGCCCGATAATTCCCGAACCACATGTTATATTCATCTTGGTCTAGATGACATATATATGGTTGTGGATATTTTATTTGGGCCATAAGAAAGGCATGGAGTTGACCGGTTGGTCAAACGGGGCCCAATTACCGGTATTGGTAATTTAGCGGATACCAGCCCGAAATGAGTTTCGGAGACTCCTAAATTAATGTTGGGGAATATACATCTATTCTAAAGGCCCATAATTATTAGGAACACGTGATATATTTTATTTGGCCCGATAAAATGAAATATGATTAAAACGGACCGAGAAATACAACTTTCGGGGCCGATTGTACACACCGGGACATAATGGGATGACCTCCCACATGAGTGGGGGCCACCCCACGTTTTTATGTGTGTTAGTTGGCTGAGTAGTACGTAGGAGGGGGTTGAGAAGTCTCCATGAGACAAAAACACATGCCCCATGTCCTATCCTACACTATATGGTGATTGGGAGGGCATCTTTCACCCACCTCCTCACAATAATTCGGCCAAATCTGAGGGAAAGGGAGCTCCAGCAACTCCTCATCAAGTCCAAGCTTGGAGGAAGTGGGAGGCAAGCAAAATTTCAGTGGAAACTAGCTAGGAAGAAGGTAAGAACTCAACTATCTTCTTTTAACTAGTTTAGGGTGTATGATTTGTAAGGAATCATATGATGGATTAAACATGATGTTCTACACGTTTAAAAGTGTAGAATATTAATATAAAGTGGTGATATTTAACTTAGAAGAGTTGGTGAATCGATAGGAGTCGAAATCGCCGGAAACCGCCACTTTAAGGGAGCTGCTCGTTTCTGCAGAACACGAAAGCCGCCCGGCTTTCGTGAAAGCCGCCCGGCTTTTGCCCAGGCAGTCAAGTTTTGCCTTTCAATCGGCCTAGAACGAGGATTGATCGAGGGGGCGTAACAAAGGCAACTATTGTAGCACATCACGAGGTGAGGATGGCTGACTATATTGCTTATAATTAGTGAGTTAATTTCATAAGAATGCCTAAAGTGATTAGATGGGATTTTCATGGATTATTAATGACTAATAATGCCTAAATGAAAATAATATGAATATGAATAAGTGAAGCATGATATACAAATTTAGAATAATTGTGTATGATTATGTGAAATGAATGGAACGGCATGTTAATGGAATTACTATGATGACATTGTGATAAAATATACTTATTTCATGTATGAAATTCATGAATGGATTAAAGTGATATTTTTTATATTGAGATCAAACTATACTTGGGTTGAGAAATCAATGGAAATGAAATGCCAATTGGGAAATAGGAACTTGGCATGTTCTAAGATTATCCAATTAGTATCAAAATACTAGTCGGGGAATTAAAATGAATAAATGATGAAACAAATCCTAAGAGGTAGGATTGTGAATAGATATGCCTTAAGTAGTCTCAAGAGATACTTAAGGATGAATGGTATGAACACTAAGGTGTGATAGGGGTAGGTCTAAAGGCCACCTACGGGAATTGATTCTAGGCATAGGACTTGCTTGAGAATTGGATTATGAAAATAATTAGAGTTGGACTCTAGGATGACATGGAGATGTAGTTGGGCCGAGCCCATGCCATGTAATATGATTAGCATGGAAACGTAGTTGGGCCGAGCCCTTGCCATGTATATGTGACCTCCGTGGAAACGTAGTTGGGCCGAGCCCTTGCCACGAAGTTATGGTTGGTATGGAAACGTAGTTGGGCCGAGCCCTTGCCATACAAATTTTGATATGATATATTGAGCTAGAGGATTGTATAGAGATGTAGTTGGGCCGAGCCCATGCTATACAATTGGGGCTCGATGGGACCCCACGGGGTTATCGTGACTTGCGGTCACGGGGGAATGGAAACGATGAATTCTAAATGAATATGGGCCTACGTGCCGACTACTTGACTTTATATAAAGTAAGTACAGTTAAAAGTAAAAGGGGTAACCGAGGGTTATGGCCTATAATATAATAGTACCCTAAGTTGAGGGTCTTGGAAATTAAAACGTTGATTATACTTAGTATAGTTGCTATTGTACTTGTCAAATATTTCCAAGTACTGACCTCCCCTTCACGGGGGAGGCCACCTCACAGTTTCAGGTAGAACTTGAAGGTCGCTGCCATTGCCCGTTGCTTCGGGAGGAATCAAGGGAAGAAGACGTGGTTCGTGCTTCTCCCGTCCTGTTTTAAAAACAATTACATTAATGCTCATGGATAATATTTTCTGAATAATTACTTTGGGGGCTTGCATGCCTAGTTATGGCAAGTGTGGCTTGAACAATTGTATTAATGCTTCCGCTGTTTTAAATGCGTGTTTTACATTATGTTTGTTTATGGATGTACTATGTGTGATTGATATTCATGACGCCTTGTATAGTATGGATGAGTTGGACTGCGGTTGACTATTCGTACTGTACGGCGGGTTGTTGACGTGTCCGGCTAGGTCCGGGGCGTGACAATTTAATTGGGATCAGAGCCTTAGTCCGTAAACATCATAATGAAGCTTCAAAATTTCTTTTTGAAAGTGAATTTGAAAACCATGAGCATAAGGTTTTGTACTTATAGAACTTTTGGTACTTGAGTTGCAATGTCTCTAATTGTTAAGATGGTACCCTTAACAATTGGTATGGCGGTGATTTGAGCCAAAGGATGTCTTTAAGTACCTATCCGTCAATTGATATTTGATACGAGTCTAATGACTCATTCTCAATTTCTTTCAGAAATGGAACGTACCGGGAAAGTAACTAGAACGAACCCGACTGGCCGAGCACCGGGAGGATCCGTGCAAGGCAGTAGAGGGACTTCTAGGGTGTCCAGAGGACAGGGCCGTGGAGGCCAAGGACAGACCGTGAGTGACAATTATATATAAACAGTCAATGAGTCCTATGAGTCCGAGGAGGATTCGACGTATCAACCGGGAACTGAGCCGGTTGAGACCCCATATGATGGGGAGTATGATGATGCCAGTGAGGGGAGCGACGATGATGACGCTCTAGAAAGGATGGAAGAACTACTCCGTCAATTTCAACAGGATCGCCAAAGGCGCCGTGCAAGGCGTGCTTTGGGAGGGGCTTCAAGACGGGGAAGCCATGCGGGTTCTAGGGGACATGTGGAGTCCCGAGTAGATCGAGGTGTCGAGGTCCCGATAATAAGGATCTCGAAGTACCTCAAAGAAGCAAGAGATTTGGGGTGTAAACCGTTCGATGGAACGAGAGATATATCCGTTGCGGCGGAGTGGATCAAGCGGTTCAATGAAGCGGCCCTTGATATGCAGCTGCCGCCAAACATGAAGATGAGAGTAGCAACAAGGTTGCTAGAGGGGATGGCGTCCACATGGTGGGACGGTGTCAAGGGGAAGTACGGTGAGGCCGTAACTTGGGAGAATTTCCGACAGGAATTCTTCAACCAATACTACTCCGACTTCGAGGTGAACTTGAAGAGGAGAGAATACACCAACTTGACCCAAGGAGGCAAGTATACCGTGAGGCAACTTGAGCACAAGTTCAGGGAGCTCGCGGAGTTCATACCGGAGTATGCTTGTGACGAGAACCGGATGGTGAACCACTTTTGGGATGCTTTAGACTTAGACGTGCGTGAACGGGCAACTCAGTTGCCTAACATGACGTTTAGTCAAGTGGTGGAGCAAGGCCTGAAAGGGGAGAAGGAATGGGAAGAAAGAAAGCTGAAAAACGCCGAGGAGGCGAAGAAGAGGAAATGGGAGAACACCGGCCCCCAAGGTTCTAGCAAGAAGGGGAACCACGGGGGAGGTGGGTCTTTCAGAACGCCCACACCACCACCTAGGGGGAATCAAGGCCCAGGAGGGCAAGGCTCGAGGTCGCAAGGCTCGGGCATTAGCAGGTGCAACAACTGCAAGAGGAATCACGCGGGCAAGTACCGCGATCCCCCTAGGTGCTACCAATGCGGGGAAACGGGGCACTTGAGATCAAACTACCCACAACTTGGGCGAGCCATGGGTGCAGGACCTAGCAGCGGGACTACGGCAAGTAGGAACCGAGCAGGGGCACTTCACGCGAGCACGACGCACGGAGGGCCAAGTAAAAGCAACGCGCCATCCGTGAACCAAGGCAAGACCCAGGCTAGGGTCTATGCGATGACGGAGGCGGACGCACGTGCTAACCCGGACTCTGTGGCGGGTAAAATCTTAAACTCATGTTATTAACTCTATTGTATGCAATAGGAGTGTTTGGAATGTGCAAAATTTGAAACCCCGACGGTTTGGTCGGGATTGTAGGGGAAAGGGGAGGAAAAATCCCCGCCCTGGGCGAATGCCGCCCGGCATTTGACGAAGCCGCCCGGCTTTCGTCTTGAATTATTGGGAAAATGTTGCGGCAACGAATGCCAGCCGGTTTCCACCAAAAGCCGCCCGGCTTTCGTCATCAATTAATCTGTAAAATCCTCGCAACCAAAAACCGGCCGGCTTTTGTAAAGACCGGCCGGCTTTCATAAATGCCTGACCTGGGGAAATTTCTCGCAGCCGAAAGCCGTCCGGCTTTGGCGAAAGCCGCCCGGCTTTCATTGGGCCTGGAGATTTCTGCGTTGCTGAAACCCGGCCAGGTTTCGTAGAAACCGGCCGGCTTTGAGACCATTTCCTGAACAAAACTGCGGCGACGAAAACCGGCCGGCTTTCGTGAAAGCCGCCCGGCTTTCGTGAAAGCCGCCTGACTTTCGTGATTTTTCATACGAGAATTTTTTCTCGAAGACGAAAACCGGCCGGCTTTCGTGAAAAGCGGCCGGCTTTCACCTGGGTTCGTCCTAGAGCGGTTCTAAAGGTTAGAAACCGGGGAATTTTCGGACGGGTGTCAAACGAACTCCACCCGAACCGCGACCAACATACTCTACGACTTAAGAAACAAGCCTATTAATTAGATAGTGTGTTATACATTACTTATGAATGTAGGAACACTAAAGATAAATGGGAGAGACGCAAGGATCCTTATTGATACCGGGGCGCAACGATCATTTGTGAGTGAGGCGTTCGCCAGCGGATTCAACGGACCACTTGTACCGATGACTCAAACCCTATTGGTGTCCACGCCTCTAGGGGATGATATCGAGAGAGATAGCCACTATCCATCGTGTGAGGTGGAGGTGGAGGGACAGAACTTGACGTGTGATTTCGTACCGCTGAGTATGATCGAGTTTGATGCAATCCTCGGGATGGATTGGCTTGAGGAACATCATGCTAGGGTCGATTGCTAGACGAAGATTCTTGAACTCGAAGGCGGTGAAGGGTTGACCTTACGCTTCGAGGGAGATAGAGGCAAATCAAACAGTTGTATCATATCCGCCGTGAGGGCGAGGAATATGATGAGAAAGGGATGCCACGCATACCTAGCGTATGTGGTGGATAAAACCAAGGAAGAGAGACATCAATGATGTGAGAGTAGTGTGCAAGTATCCGGACGTCTTCCCAAAAGACTTGCCGGGACTTCCACCCGATAGGGAGATTGAGTTCGTGATCGAGGTTGAACCCGACACCAAACCAATCTCTATACCGCCATACAGAATGGCACCCGCTGAACTTAACGAGTTGAAAACCCAATTGCAAGAGCTATTGGATAACAGTTTCATAAGGCCGAGTCGCTCTCCGTGGGGAGCACCGGTCCTTTTCGTGAAAAAGAAAGATGGAACACTTCGAATGTGCATTGACTATCGTCAACTGAACAAGGTCACAATCAAAAATAGGTATCCCTTGCCTAGGATTGATGACTTGTTTGATCAGCTCCGAGGAGCGACGGTGTTTTCGAAGATTGACTTGAGGTCGGGGTACCACCAACTGAAGATAAAGGAGGATGACATACCGAAGAGTGCATTCCGCACAAGGTATGGTCATTTCGAGTTCCTAGTTATGTCATTCGGGCTAACCAACGCCCCGGCGGCATTTATGGACTTGATGAACCGAGTATTTCATAAATACTTGGAC